TAACAAATTGAAGAAAAAAAGTTTCGTCAAAAGTCGACAAGTTGGGAATATTATAACATGTACTTTTGGTGTGAGACTAAGGTCCTTAACATGATAAGGAGGTTATTTTATGAGTTATTTTAGTCGTATGGTAGTCGTGTGTTATGTTTTGAAGTCAAGCGAGTTGAAATAAAAGTTGGCAAAGGTCACCACAAGTTACATTCGTAAATGTGCTGAGAATTAGGTCAAATGTAGCTGAGCTTTTCTCCGAATATAACTATATTTACGGGGTGATACACCCATAAAATTGAATATCTGCGAGTCTGGTTTCCAATGAATTAAACCGTTTTTTAATACGACATTGGAGTATAGAGATATTTGCGTTTTTGCGAGACTGTGCATACTGCATAGGTGACAAGTAGATGTGTCACCTACTTGCTTAAATGAAAGGACCAAATATGTCCAAAAAAGGACTAGTTGGGGTCGGCCAAAGAGACCTTTTAAGGGCTGATTTACTTCATATATTCCACTCATTATATATCCAAAAACCAGAGATAAGCCCCTACAAACGTCTCCCAAAAAAATCCAACACAAAACCCTAAATGATTTTCTCTTCTTTTCAAGTTCTAGTTGGAGGAAAACCTAAGGGTTGAGAACCAAGTTAGGAGCTAAGATCTTCACCAAATAAGGTAAGTATACCTCCCTATTCATTCTATTTTTCTATAGGAAAGGTATATATATTTGTTCTATAATTGTAAGAACTCATGGGACGGTGATCAGAAGCCGTGAGTTCGAGTTATTCAACTTGTAGTGGACTATTTTGTGGGCTGTTTTGTGTTGTTGTTGGGTTGTCTGTTTTGCTGCTATTTTATGGAGTTTGAGAGGAGAAAGGGTGTGTATAAACACCACATGATGGTGGGGTGGTGGGCTGGTCATTTGTCGTAACATTTTTGGGTTGTTTGACACTACTATGGTTGTCATTTTGTGTATGAAGTGATTGGGGTGTGTTGGGCTGTTTTGTGGTATTTTGTGATGTATATAAGATTGTAAAATGAATATATGTTGTTATTGATGTGTTCTTGTGTTGTTGGTATTAACTCGAATTGGGAGGAAGTAAAGATTATAGGGGAGATATTTCCCGTTTTAATATAAAAAAAGCTTGTCGTTCTGTGTACGATAATTGCATCTTTCGTAGCTTAACGACAGCATTATTGTCGTTGTTGTAGATTAAAGTGCGACGTGACGAGTTCAAGATGGTTATTGGACAGAGTGTGATAAGGTATGTTAAGGCCAAACCTTTCCTTCATTCTAGCATAATTCCGTAACTACATGTGTTTGATAACGAGATATAAAGAGAAGTTCGTATTCCGAAACTTATGTACATTATCCTAGTCTTGTAAGTGAGAGTGTTCTTCCTTATTTAGACTTTATATCCGGCTAAGTATTTTCTTCTTCCAGTGAAGAGAGAAGTGGGTCTATTTATATATAGTATTATAGTATTTTTTACCACCATCGAGCTGTAATCGGTGGATAGGCCCCTATTGGACAGTATTTTAGCATTTTGACCACCATCGAGCTATAATTGGTGCGCAGGCTACTATTGGGTAAACTCCGATCAGATGGTACGTTATATACCGAGCCTACTGTGGCCCAAAACTTATGAGAAAGCCCAGAATAGCCGAGATACCGAGCCTAGTACGGCCGAGTGCCTATGAGCGCGCCTACTGCAGTAGAGCAGTTACACATACCGAGCCTTATAGGGCCAGACAACTATTTTACTTACTATATTGAGAGAGTTGAATCAGTATCAGCAGGTAAGCATATCTTCAGATCATGTTTGACTCTTAGTTTTTTTCAGTTATTATATTGTCAATTCAGTCTCAGCTTTTAGTTTTTCTATTGCCTTACGTACTCGGTACATTATTTCGTACTGATGTCCCTTCTGTCAGGGATGCTGCATTTCATGCCTGAAGGTCCTGATAGAAAGCTGGATAGACCTTCCCAATGGACAGAGTCAAACATTAGCTTGGGTGGTAAGCACTACTTCCTCGGAATAACCAGGTCTAGACATTGGAGTCCATTTTAAATATACAGGTTTGATGGATAAGTCGAGGCCCTGTCCCGACCATGATACAGTTCTGTTATCTCTCAAGATATATAGACGAATCCTATGTATTTAGTGTATCAGTATTGTGGCCCTGTCAGCCTTGTGTACATGTTCAGTTTTGTATTTGCTGGTTGTAGATGTTCATGGCGGTCTAGTCGGCCTGCACAGTTATGTATATGAGCTTTTGGGCGTGCTTACCCCTCGGATGAGAGAGACGTTATTTTTAGATGATTTAGAATATGGCCTCATCGGACTTGATTGGTATTGTCATCTTGCAAGTAGGCCTCATCGGCCTAAGTTGAGGGCTACCCCTCCAGAGTTTACAGTTACAAAGTGGTAAGATTAAGTCGAGTATGGCACCGGGTTCTAGCCACGCCTCCCCAGGTTTGGGGAATGACAATGTCATGTCCCTAATTTCTCTCTGTAGGATGTCGTGATGGCACCTAGTCTCTACGACTCGATAAGCCTAACATTCAATAATAGTTTGACATAAATTAAAAAAGGGCAGCCCGGTGCACTAAGCTCCTACTATTCGCGGGGTCCGGGGAAGGGCCGGACCACAAGGGCCTATCGTACACAGCCTTACCCTGCATTTCTGCAAGAGGCCATTTCCACAGCTCGAACCCGTGACCTCCTAGTCACATGGCATAAACTTTACCAGTTACGCCAAGGCTCCCTTTCAGGGCAGCAACTTTATTAGTTTGACAGAAATAATTAATAGAAATACTAAAACAAGTCTAATAAACTCTTAAAATCTCCCGGAACAGAATCTCAACAAATACTTTCCCAAAACCGGTGGAACTGAGTCATAAAGCTCTACAGAGTAAAACTAGAATGTCTACTACATCACCGTCTGAATGAAAATCCAACGGGAAGTAAAGATAAGGGAAGGTGACTCCGAGGCCTGCGGACGCTGAGAAGGCATACCTTGAAGTCTCCGTACAGCTAACAGACGATCACTAACATCCGGCAAGAGCAGACATACTTGGATCTGACAAAAAGATATGCAGAAGCGTAGTATAAGTACACCATACCGGTACCCAGTAAGTATCAAGCCTAACCTCGGTAGAGTAGTGACGAGGCCTAGTCAAGACACCTACCAGAATATAAATAAGCAGTATGAAAACATAAGAACTATAAATAATGGAAGGCGGAGAAATAACTGACACGAAACAAGTTAATAACATAAACTAATACCGGAATTTTAAACATGGAAATAACATAAAGGAAGATATTACAGAGAACCACAATGAGAATATACGGACAACAACTGATAGAACAAGGAGGAACAAAACAACAAGAAGTGTTCCAACCAAAACTCTTTGCAACATAAGATAAACAGCAAGAATCGCAACAAGGTACCGCCTCGTGTACAATAAGAATCACAATCGAGGTACCGCATCGTGTATATATCAAGAATCACAATTGAGGTACCGCCTCATATTCACAATTTCACAATCTCAATCACAATCTTTCCATATACCGCCGCATGAACCTTACATTTAAATAGTTTTGATATTATTTTCCCCCGAAATAGCTACATGCACTTTAGCCCAGCTTATGATGCCACATGGCTTCATGTAATTGCCTTAAAAGCAACACGCACATAAGTCCCACCTTATGCTGTCGCATGCACATTAACCCCTAGCCTTATACCACCGCATGCGCGTCAATATCACATCATAATAACAACTCATACCACAAGTGCCCATATGTCACAACTTGCCAACAATCAACAACATCAGTGTTTCCACAACAATAGCCCATGGCTCCACCACAATGAGTTCAAGAATATCAACAATAACAATGAATGTAAAATTCTCAACAATTAAAAACTTCGCCTCAATGTGATACGACTTTCACAACTTCAACACCAATAACTCAACAATGAGAATGATAATGTGTAACCATGAAACTAAATACAAATAACTCAAAATGGAAGAGATAACACGACTTCCAATACGAATAATAGCAATGAAAGAGATAACTTGTAACAATGACTTCAAATAATGATAATCAACAATGAAAGAGACAACATGTATCAGTAAAAAAGGCAACACGTTCAACTAAATCATGGGAGCAATTTAGCATGTAGGATGTAGAACAAGTGTTAAACAAGTCATTTAAGGCATGTGAGGATAGACTAACACAAGTAAGAATAGATTGACTATGAGAATTTAGAACATGATATGATATTTTAATTAAAGCATGGAAAGAGTCTAAGTAGCCTTAACCGGTCAAATACCACATACAACCCGTGTAACATCTCGTCACCTTGCGTACACGGCTTTCACATAACATATACGAACCCATCACTACCAATCCTAAGGGGGTAGTTCCCCTACACAAAGTTAGACAAGATACCTACCTCAACTAGGCCAATTCAACTCTCGAAATAGCTTTCCCCCTAAAATTCGCCTTCACATGGCTCAAATCTAAGAAAAATCAACTTAATATCATCAAACAATGCAAAGGAAATCAATTACAATAGATAAAGCCATGATCTTTACACTTTCCCCAAAAAGTCAACAAAAGTCAACACGGGGCTCGCCCGGTCAAAATACGGGTCCAATGGTAGATTCTAACTAACCATGACCCCACGAGTTCATATATGTGATTAGTTTCAAAATTCGAGTCTAAATCGACTCTCAAAACTCAAACTCTTATTTTTCAAAAACTTGACAAAGTTTACAAATTTTTACTTTGATTCACATGATTTTAATGTTAAAATCTAAGATATATTGATGGAATATGATTGAAAATAGATTAGAATTATTTACCCAAAGTTTGTAGATGAAAATCTCCTCTCCAAATCGCCTCCTACCGAGTCTAGGGTTTTAAAATGAGAGAATGTGAGATGAAATCCCGACTTCCAGCCCTTTTGATCAGTTGCTGATGTCGCAATTGCAAAGTATTACTCGCAAATATGGCCACTGTCAGTCCTATGCAGACGTCGCAATTGCGACTCTGGCTTCGCATTTGCGAAGCCTGTCTCCATCGCAAATGTGGCTGTTTTGCTGCAAATGTGAACTAGCCCTCTACCTGAACTCTTCGTAATTGTGAGCCAGGTATCGCAACTGCTAAGCTCACAATTGCGAACCTGGTGTTCACAAATGCGATACCTGAAGCATCAACACATGAGATTCTGCAATTTCAGTTCAAACCTTCTGAAACATGCCCGAAACTCATCCGATCCCTCGGTGCTCCAAACCAAACATCCACACAAGTCTAAAAACATGACACGACCCGCTCGCGCGATCAAAATACAAAAATAACATCTAAAACTACGAATCGAATACTAAAATGCATGAATTTCAATGTAAAGTTCAAGAATCTCTAGAATTATAACTAAACGTCCGAATCCTAACCAACCAACTCCAAATGATACCAAATTTTGCAGACAAGTTCTAAATAACATAACGAACCTATTCCAAGTCCCAAAATCAAATTCCGAGCTCGATAGCTAAAAGTCAACGTACAGTGAAACTTTTCAACTTCAAATTGCTAAATTTTGTCAAAACAACACTCAACCTGCGGACTTCCGAAATCAATTCCGGGCATACGACCAAGTGAGAATCACGATACGAAGCTATCAGAGCCATCAAAACACCGTTCCGGGGTCGTTTTCACAAAAGTCAAAGTTTGGTTAACATTTCTACTTTAAGCTTCTAAGTAAAAAATCAAAGGGTCCAAATCTACCAGAAAGCTTTTCGGAACTAAACTAACCGACCTTGCAAGTCATAAAATTATAAACACACATGTGTGAAGCATAAAAAAAGGTTAACGAGCCTCAATTACACAAAATGACCAGTCGGGTCGTTACATTCTCCCCCTTTTAAAACAAATGTCCATCCTCGAACGTGCATAAGGACATACTTGAAGTGATGAATAGATATGGATAACAACTCCGCATGTCGTGCTCGGTCTTCTAGGTCGCCTCCTCAACCGGATGACCCCTCCATTGAACCTTCACTAAAGCAATGTTCTTTGATCTCAACTTCCGGACCTGTCTGTCCAAGATAGACACCGACTCCTCAATATAAGTCAAATCCTCGTCCAATTGGACTATGCTGAATTCTAAAACATGAGACGGATCACCGTATCCGGAGCATAGAAACATGGAACACCAGATGAACCACAGATAGTAGGTGGAAATGCAAGCTTGTAGGCCACCTCACCATTCCTCTCAAGGATCTCAAAAGGTTTGATATACCTAGGGCTCAACTTGCCCTTCTTCCTGAACCTCATCACACCCTTTACGGGTGAAACTCGGAGCAAGACTCGCTCTCCAACCATGAATGCAACATCGTGAACCTTCCAATCTGCATAACTCTTATGTCTAGATTGGCTTGTACGAAGCCGATCCTGGATCAACTTGACCTTCTCCAAGGCATCTCGAACCAAATCTGTGCCTAATAATTTAGCCTGTCCCAGCTCAAACCAACCAACTGGGAAACGACACCGTCTCCTATATAAGGCCTCATAAGGAGCCATCTGAATACTTGATTGGTAGTTGTTGTTGTAGGAAAACTCCATAAGTGACAAGAACTGATCCCAAGAACCCCCAAAATCCATAACACATGCACGAAGCATATCCTCCAATATTTGAATGGTGCGCTCGGACTGTCCGCCCTTCTGGGGTGAAATGTTGTACTCAACTCGACCCGTGTGCCTAACTCATATTGTACAACTCTTCAAAAATGCGACGTGAATTGCGTACCCCGGTCAGAGATAATGGATACCGGCACGCCATGTAGTAGGACAATCTCGCGGATATAGATCTGTGCTAGCTGCTCTGAAAAATAGGTGGTCACTACCGAAATGAAATGAGCCGACTTGGTCAACCTGTCCACAATCACCCATACCGCGTTAAATTTCTTCTTAGTGCGTAGGAGCCCAACAACAAAGTCCATGGTAACACGCTCCCATTTCCACTCGGGAATCTCAAGTCTCTAAAGCGAACCGCCTGGCCTATGATGCTCATACTTCACTTGATGACAATTTAGGCACCCAGCTACATACTCCACTATGTCCTTCTTCATTCTCCTCCACCAATAGTACTGCCTCAAGTCCTGATACATCTTTGAGGCACCCGTATGAATGGAGTACCGCGAACTATGAGCCTCCTAAAGAATCAACTCACTCAACCCATCCACATTAGGCACACATAACTGGCCCTGCATCCGGAACACATCGTCATCTATGATAGAAACCTCCTTGGCATTGTCGTGCTGAACTGTGTTCTTAAGGACAAGCAAATGGGGGTCGTCTTAATGACGCTCTCTGATGCGATCATATAGAGAAGATCTAGAAACCATGCAAGCAAGAACTCGACTAGGCTCCGAAACATCTAATCTAACAAGCTGGTTGGCCAAGGCCTGAACATCCATGGCTAGTGGCCTCTTTGCTGCCGGTAGATATGCTAAACTGCCCAAACTCACCACCTTTCGACTCAAGGCATTAGCCACCACATTGGACTTCCCGGGAGATATGGAATGGTGATACCATAGTCCTTAAGCAACTCTAACCATCTCCGATGCTGCAAGTTCAGATCTTTCTGTTTGAACTAATGTTGTAGACTTCGGTAGTTGGTAAAGATCTCACAAGGGACACCGTACAAATAATGCCACCAGATCTTCAATGCATGAACAATAGCTGCAATTCCAAGTCGTGGACCAGATAATTCTTCTCATAGGTCTTCAGCTATCGAGATGCGTAAGAAATCATCCTATCGTCTTGCATCAACATTGCGCCAAGGCCAACACGTGACACATCACAATAAACGGTGTAAGACCCCAAACCTATAGAAACACCAACACTAGGGCTGCAGTCAAAGCAGTCTTTAGCTTTTGAAAGATCACCTCACACTCCTTGGACCATCTGCAAGGAGCACCCTTCCGGGTCAATCTGGTCATAGGTGCAGCAATAGATGAGAAACCCTCTACGAAATGACGATAATACCCGTCCAAGCCAAGAAAACTCCGAATCTCAGTAGCCGAAGACGGTCTGGGCCAACTCTGAATTGCTTTAATCCTCTTCAGATCTACCTTGATCCCGTCACTCGACACCACATGACCCAAAAACGCCATCGAATCAAGCCAGAATTCGCACTTTGAGAATTTTGCATACAACTTCCTCTCTATCAAGGTCTGGAGTATGATCCTCAAGTGTTGCTCATATCCTACCTGGCTGCGGGAGTACACCAAGATGTCATCAATAAACACAATGATGAGTGAATCAAGATATGGCTGGAATACATTGTTCATCAGGTGCATAAATGTTGATGGGGCGTTGGTCAGCCCAAGTGACATCACAAGGAACTCGTAGGGTCCATACCGAGTCCTAAAGGCAATCTTCGAAATATCCAGATCCCAAATCTTTAGCTGATGATAACCTGACTGCAAATCAATCTTTGAGAACACTTTGGCACCCTGTAGCTGATCACACAAGTCATCAATGCGCGACAATGGATACATGTTCTTCACTATAAACTTGTTCAATTACCGATAATCAATATACATGTGCATAGAACCATCCTTATTCTTCACAAACAAGACTAGAGCACCCCAAGGGGACACACTAGTCCTAATGAAACCCTTATCAAGCAACTCTTGCAATTGCTCCTTTAACTCCTTCAACTCCGTTGGGGTCATGCAATATGGTAGAATAGAAATGGGCGGAGTGCCTAGCAATAAGTCAATACCAAAATCGATATCCCTATCGGGCAGCATACCTAGAAGACCCGCTGGAAAATATATATGGAAAGTCTCTCACTACCGGAACTGACTCAATGGTAGGAGTATCAGCACTGACATCTCTCACAAAGGCTAGATAAGCATCATACCCCTTCTCAACCATCCACTGAGCCTTTAGAAATGACACAACCCTACTAGGATCATAATCCAACGCACCCCTCCACTCTAACCGTGGCAAACCTGGCATAGCCAATGTCACAGTCTTGGCGTGACAATCTAGAATAGCATGATAGGGTGACAACCAGTCCATGCCCAAGATATCATCAAAGTCTACCATACTAAGCAACAACAGATCAACTCTGGTCTTAAAGACACCAATAACAACTAAACAAGACCGATACACATGGTCCACAATAATAGAATCTCCCACAGGCGTGGACACATAAACAGGAGAACTCAAAGAATCACGAGATATATCCAAATACGGAGCAAAGTAAGATGACACGTATGAATAAGTGGATCCCGAATCAAATAAGATTAATGCCTCCTTATGGAAAATCGGAACCATAGCTGTAATGACTGCGTCTGAAACAACTACCTCTGTCCTACCCGGAAAAGCATAAAATCTGTCCTAGCCTCTCCCTCTAGGGCGACCTCTACCCGCTCGTTCCCTACCCCTAGCTGTTTGTGTGGGTGGAGTGGCAATTGGGGCAGAAACCATGGCATGGGAAGTCCATGGACCTGACTGAATCCGTGGAGCTTGAGTAGTCTATGGAGGTGCACCCCACCTAAGTCTGGGGCACTCTCTAACCATATGATATGTATCACCATACTCAAAGCAAGCCCTCGGTGGGTGTGGCTGCTGGGACTAGCTTGGGCCTGGTCGGCTGGACTGACCACTGAAGGCACCCCGTGTAGGAGGTGCACTAGAAAGTGGCCGAGCAAAGTGTTCAACCTGAGACCTCGGAACAACCGGAGCACCACTAGAAGATGGAAGTGTTGAGTGAACTAGACGACTCACATAGCCTCTACCATGATGGGTTGTAGCCACAGCATGGCCACCACTAAATCCTCCCGTACCTCGATGCCTCTTGGCCTCCCTGTCCTCTCTCTTACGGCCTTGCATACCCTCCAACCTCTGTGTAATCCCTACCACTTGTTGATATAGGGTATCTGTCTCCAACTCTCGAGCCATGCTAAACCTAATACCATAGTTGAGCCCCTCAATAAATCGACAGACTCGCTCTCTGACTTTAGAAACCAAGGCAGGTGCATGTCTGGACAAATCACTGAATCTGACTGCATTTTCTGACACTGTCATAGTACCCTAGCGCAACTGCTCAAACTCTGGACGCCATACATCCATAAGGGTCTGGGGAACAAACTCCCCTAAGAATAATTCTTAAAACCAAGTCCATGTAAGTGAAGTTGCATCGGCTGGGCTACCCTCCTCGTACACTCACCACTGATATGTTGCTCCTGACAGCTAGAAAATAGTGAAAGCAACTCTGCTCATCTCCACAATACCCATGGTGCAGAGAATACAGTGGCACTCCTCTAGAAAATGGTGCATCCTCTGAAGCTAAACCACTGAAAGTAGGAGGCCGATACTTCTTAAACCTCTCAAGTCTAAGCTGCTCCTCCTCAGATGTTGTTGCCCTAACCACGGGCCGAACCGGAACATCAGGCTGTACTGGTATGACCTCTAGGACCTGTTCAACATGAGCCCGCTGCTCTACGGTACGAGACGAGGGAGTATGAGATCCTCCCCCAGCTTGAGATATGGTTGGTGCAAGTGGAATTAACCCCGCCTGAGCTAGAGTACCAGACATGCTCAAGAACTTTGCGAAGGTCTCCTAAAGTGCTGGGGTGGCAACAAGCGCCTCGGGTGCCTATCCCCCAACTCGAGCTACTGGTGGCTCATCTGTCAAGCTCGGGCTGGTACTCTAGCTGCACCACGTGCCCCTTCTCGGCCTTTGCCTCGCCCCCGGCCTCTCATGGCTCTACCAGGGGGCGCGGGTGTCTGATCGTTAGATCCAGTAGTGCGTGTCCTCACCATCTGTGAGAGAATGGAAAGACAGATATTCAGAATTTCGAAGTCAACAAATTCGCACGATAAGGAATCAAGGATATGAAGTTTCCTAACAGCCCTGTAGCCTCTCAAAGATAAGTACAGACGTCTCTGTACAGATTCGTAAGACTCTACTAAACCTACTTATGACTCATAAAACCTATGAACCTAGAGCTCTGATACCAACTTATCACGACCATAATTTCCCTCCGTAGGATGTCGTGATGGCACCTAGTCTCTATGACTAGGTAAGCCTAACATTCAATAATAGTTTGACAGAAATAATTAACAGAAATACTAAAATAAGTCTAACAAACTCATAAATCTCCCAAAATAAAATCTCAACAAATACTTACCCAAAACCGGTGGAACTGAATCATAAGTTCTTCAGAGTAAAACTAGAATGTCTACTACTTCACTGTCTGAATGAAAATACAATAAGAAGTAACGATAAGGGAAGGTGACTTCGAGGCCTGCGGACGCCAAGCAAGCATACCTTGAAATCTCCGTAAAGGAGCTAACAGATGATCACTAACATCCGACACGAACAGACGTACCTGGAACTACACAAAAAGAGGTGTAGAAGCGTAGTATGAGTACACCACAATGGTACCTAGTAAATAACAAGTCTATCCTCGGTAGAGTAGTGAGGAGGCCATGTCAAGAAACCTACTAGGATGTAAATAAACAGTAGGAAAACAAAAAAATGATAAATAATGGAAGGTAGAGAAATAACTGATACACAACAAGTTAATAGCATGAACTAATACCAGAATTTTAAGCATGGAAATAACATAAAGGAAGAAATTACAGAGAACCACAATGAGCATATACAGATAACAACTGATAGAACAAGGAAGAACAAAACAACAAGAAGTGTTACCCATCAAAACTCTTTGCAACATGAGATAAACAACAAGAATCACAACGAGGCACTGCCTCGTGTACAATAAGAATCACAACCGAGGTACCTCATCGTGTATATATCAAGAATCACAATCGAGGTACTGCTTCGTATTCACAATTCACAATCTCAATCACAATCTTTCCTTATACTGCTGCATAAGCCGTGCATTTAAATAGCTTTGAAAATATTTTTTCCCCAAAATAGCTACACGTAGTTTAGTCCACTTTATGATGCCGCGTGGCTTCACATAATTCCCTTACAAGCACCACGCACATAAGTCCCACCTTATTCGTGGCATCCACATTAACTCCTAGCCTTATACCATCGCATGCACGTCAATATCACATCACAATAACAACTCGCCCCACAAGTGTCCATATGTCACAACTTGCCAACAATCAACAATATCAGTGTTTCCCCAACAATAGCTCATGGCTCCACCACAATGAGTACAAGAATATCAACAATAACAATGAATGTAAAATTCTCAACAAAAGAGATATCTCAACAATTAACAACTTCACCTAAATGTAATATAACTTTCACAACTTCAACATCAATAACTCAACAATGAGAATGATAATGTGTAACCACAAAACTAAATACAAATAACTCACAATGGAAGAGATAACACGACTTCCAATAAGAATAATGGCAATGAAAGAGATAACTTATAACATTGACTTCAAATAATGATAATCAACAATGAAAGAGACAACATGTAACAATAAAAGAGGCAACAAATTCAACTAAAGCATAAGAGCAATTTATCAAGTAGGATGTAGAACAAGTGTTAAACAAGTCTTCTAAGACATGTAAGGATAGACTAACACAAGTAAGAATAGATTGACTATGAGAATTTAGAACATGATATGACATTTTAATGAAAGCGTAGAAAGAGCCTAAGTAGCCTAAACCGGTCAAATACCACATACAACCCGTGTACCCACTCGTCACCTTGCGTACACGGCTTTCACATAGCACAAATGAATCCATCAATACCAATACTAAGGGGGTAGTTCTCTCACATAAATTTAGGCAAGATACTTATCTCAACTAGGCCAATTCAACTCTCGAAAATAGCTTTCCCCCTAAAATTCGCCTCCGCACGGCTCAAATCTAACCAAAATCGACTTAATATCATCAAATAATGCAAGAGAAATCAATTACAATATATAAAGCCATGATTTTTGATGGCCAATTTTGACCCTACCTTTTAAAATTAATTTATTATACTTAATAATTTGCAATGAATGTTTTGAAATTATTTTTTATCAATAAATACCTATTTCCACAAATTAATTCAGTGTTAGTTTCAAAATTAATCATTTAGTTACAAATATATTTACTATTTTTATGATTATTAAAATACTTTTTATACATAGGTTATATAGGTTCTATAATTAATTTGATAAATTACTTCTTAAAATAGTTAATTAGTTTACTATTTCAATAATTCAAAATTAATGTCCTAGTGAAGTCTTTTTACAAATAATCAATTAATTGCAATAATTAGTAGTATTTAACAATTATAATTTTCATTACATTTTATTAAAAATTATTAAGTTTATTTAAATTAATTTTGAAAGCGGGTTTGAAAGACCAAAAGGCCACAATTGCAATTCTTGAATCAAATGTAAATTGGCCATCTTAAATTGATTTTGGCCCAAATCGCTGAGTCCAGTCCGAAAATACCCAGTCCAGTAACCCCTCCTTCTCCGCTTTGGCAATCCATGCCACTCTTATTAGACTAATCGGACCTCGCCACATCACCCGTCTCAGTTACCCACAAAAGAAACACAA